TACACTTATGTTGCTGATGTCAGGAAATGTGCAACCTAACCCAGGTCCTGTGACAGACATGATATCACTGCAAACTCCTGCCGATTTTTTAAAGAGGTCAGGTATTGGTTTTGTGCACATAAATGTGAAAAGTCTATTACCAAAAATGTATATGGTTAGATCTACTCCTGATAGTTCGTACTGATCGTCGTAACTAGGTAACTAAAGGTAACTCATCGTCTGTGAAGTGGAGCCACTCAAAATCCAATCCCTGTTTCGGACTCTCATCCACACAGACACCTTGTTTTGTGTGCGTTGTCCAATAGCGTCCTCTTGCAAGTGAGATCACTTGCAATCGACACAAATAAACCGGAAATACGTTTCCAGCAGTTAATTCACATTATTGACAGCGTCACATTGTACACCCGCGCTATAATGCCACCGAAAAGTTTCCCCGAAGTTATTTTTGCAGCTTGTGTTCATTGAAATATTAAGCTATATTTATTTAGCATTCAAGTACGCAAAGACTTTTAATAATAACAGCAAAGCTGCTCATCAAGGGAATTATTGTTTACACAATTTAAAAAACAATTAAGCTGATGCAGATTTTTTTGTTTTATTGCAAATATGTCAATTACATTTATTGTTATTTTTGTAATACTGAGTAAAGTAAAGACATTGCAAGTGACCTCACTTGCAGAGGAAGTGCGCACAGGTGAGCGTGCAAGTGCCTGCAGCCAGAGACTCCTTGCAGGGAGGGGCGTTTTTACTGCCTGACAAATAAACAGCAAGACACAAGATTCATGTACATGTGTCCTAATTAGGACCAGAAATACATAAATATTAAGTCAGCTAAGGGGTAATTTAATAGATAAATATTAATTTAGGAGATAGAGATAAGAGCGATGAAAACTATTCCAATTTGAAGAGAAATTAGAAAATGGCGGACTAGTAGAGGAACAACCACTCCCTGAGAAGACAAAATGCCTTTCTGGAAATAACATTTGAACTCTCTCTTGTGATGCCGTTGTGAGCATTTATACTTCTGCGTTCTGCGTACTGCTCCGAAACGCTAGTTGGCGGCGGAGGGTTTTAATGTTCCACTGTGTTTAGATTCCTCGCGGCTAGGTTACTACAAGCAATAGCGACTGAAAGAGAGCGGATCATGTTGGAGTTGGAGCTTATTGAGGTAGAAAAACAGTTAATTTTAATAAAATTACTAACTGAAAGGCAGAAATGAGAGAAGACGTCGGAGGAGATGGTACGTGTGGAAATGCGTGAGAAGGTACGTGCGGAAATGCGTAGGAGGAAATACGATGCTACCAACCCGACCAATCACCGATCTTGCGGTCCGCGTCGTCTCGACGTGTAGTTACATTTTTGAGGAGGTGCGCGTCAGGCTACAGTGAAGGGTACGCGATATGGGACGCGTCTGTGCGTATGCTACGCCGTACCTACTGCGCGCACCCTACGCAGAAGTATAAATTGGCCTTAAAGGGAATGTAGTGAGTGCGCAGCGCCGGAGGTGAGGCATTTATTTAGTAAACATGAGCGCGCTGGGGCGGGCATTTAACAGACATTCGCAGCCTGAAGGCCAATTTATACTTCTGCGTCGAGGGTACGCCGTAGTGTACGGCGTTGGCTTCGCACGTAGGCGACGCCGTTGTGAGCATTTATACTTCTGCGTTCAGGTATTGGTTGCTCTGCAGTACTGCTCCGAAACGCTAGGAGGCGGCGGAGGGTTTTAATGTTCCACTGTGCTTAGATTCCTCGCGGCTAGGCTACTACAAGCAATAGCGACTGAAAGAGAGTGGATCATGTTGGAGTTGGAGCTTATTGGGGTGGAAAAACAGTTCACTTTAGTGAAATTACTAAAACTGAAAGGCAGAAATGAGAGAAGACGTCGGAGGAGATGGTATGTGTGGAAATGCGTGAGAAGGTACGTGCGGAAATGCGTATGAGGAAATACGATGCTACCAAGCCGACCAATCACCGATCTTGCGGTCCGCGTCGTCGCGACGTGTAGTTACATTTTTGAAGAGGTGCGCGTCAGGCAACGCGGAAGGGTACGCGGTATGGGACGCGTCTGTGCGTATGCTACGCCGTACCTACTGCGCGCACCCTACGCAGAAGTATAAATTGGCCTTGACTCATATGAGTATTCAATGTGCGCGGCTCGCTAACAGCAACAGTTGGCTGTTTTGAATGAGACTGTGAACGGGGAGCGCTTTATGCGCGAGCAGCACCGAGGACAGTGTGTCTGTTAAGTGGGTCATTCCTGGTATGCGGTGACTTTTTCTGTCCCAATGATTTATATACTCATATTTTCTCTAAAATGAGTCACATATTTATAATAAATGGCTTAAATTGTAGATTTAAGTATTCTTTACAATTTAAACAGAGATAATAGACATTAAAAATACTATTTTGTATTTTACACCATTTTAATTGATGTATGCATTCAATTATATCATGTCCTCAGTGCTCAGTAATCAACTTCTGCAAAAAAATATAAACCATGAAATGACAAAAACCTCAAAATATGTTTTAATTATGTTATAGACTGGGCTAAATTGCATCTAATCATACATATAAATCATGTGAAAATATAGGTCTTTTTTTTTTTAAATTTTCTTAAATTACTGCGTCCCTGAAGTCATCTTCCACCCTGTTAGTATGTACTTTTTTGCCTTCCAAATCCGACTGCAATTTCATTGAGTCCATTTTCAAGAAGTGATTTAATTTCTTTTACCTGCTGGAATTCAACTGTACAAACTGAGGTAAGCTTTAACTCTCACTCCTAAATATTTTTTTAGTTTTTGAGATGTTATCCTGCTTGTCCCACCCTTAAAGTTCCACCCTGTTAGGCTTTGTTATGAAGAATGTTTGTCCTATCAAAAAAATTTAAAAACAAATCTGACATAGTTATAAAAGTTCTGTTAATTTGTAGAAGTTTAGCTAGCTAAATGTTGATCACTCAAAGAGCTATGGCTAACTTTGCTCAGAATTTTCCACCCTGTTAGGTTCCACCCGGTCTATAAACCTAACAGGGTGGAAATTCTAATAGAAAAATTCAATTTTTTTTTAAAAAGCATTTAATGTATAGGTTATTTAGTATACCATCCTATACTGAGATGGTTCTTTAGATTTTAAAGTTCTTTTCTCCTGCCTTTTTGCTTTTCTTTTTATTCTGTTTGTTAATCTAGTAAGTTGATGTAGCCAAAAGACCACAAAGGGCATCACTGTCCATTACTGTTCCTTCTTGTGATGAATTTCGTATTTGTTTGTTAATCTAGTTAATTCAAATGAATTATATCATCTTTATTTTTAATCAAATATAAATAAATAAAAATGTAATTTATTATGTTTGTCTTCTCTAATTTGTAAATATTTCTCTAGCCATCTGAGGAGAGAATTGTTTTGTTTTGCCCCCATGATTGATTATGATGAGGAACCACATAAATATTTTTTGTCCCTCCCCCAAAGGAAATTTGGATTTTTTTTTTATTGTTTTGAAACAATATGTTATAAGTGCAGTTCCACACATTATCAATGGCAAACCATGCAGGACAATGACAAAAGGCTCATCCACTGAACCTGTTAACACTGGTGTTATACTCCGTTCCACCCTGTTATGTTCCTTTAAACCCTGTTAGACAATTCATTTTAAATAATAATTTGACAGCAACATTAAATGTTTGGCATACTTTTGTCTTATTTTGTGAGGTGAGGTGATATATTATATAAAATAATATATCTTATTTTGATATATATGTTTTTGAGCCAATATTTATTGTTATTTACCATCCTATTTGCAAAGATGGGCACAAAAAGTACCAGTTTTTAATAATCAAGACATATTCTCTTCATCAAAAATTGTTTTGCTTGTTTCAAGAAGAAAAAAAAAATCTAAGATGGCATAAAGGACATATACTATCCAAGAAAAGCTCATTATTGTTTAACATTTACATTATTAACATGTTGTGATGACTATGTATATGTCCCTAACAGGGTGGAATATTTTCATGGACATGTCTCAACAATCTACCCATAATTATTATTTTCAGAGTCCCTGAGCTTGACCAATATGTATTCCTTATAGTTAAACATGTCAATATTTTGGGAGAATGCTAAAAACATAAAAATCATGTCCTTTTTTTTCCAACACTTATGAAGCCAAAATGTCACCGCATACCAGGAATGACCCTAAGAGTGAGCGCTCGTGAGCGGGCACGTGATTTACACACATAAAAATACGTACTACTTTTTTTTTTCTTCGTCATTTTCTTTGCTTTATTGGCGGTAGTCCAGTGTTCCCCTTTGTGTTTGGCGGTTTCACCGGGTTCCACAAGGAACTTAGAGAAAATAGAGGAATCAAAGGTTATATGACGCCATAGACGGGCGACGAAACAGAAATAAAGAAACGTCCCATGTCTTCGAATGGGCTTTATGCCCAGCTGCACTACTTCCTGAACTTCAGCCAGCCCCTTTGTTTTGCTGTCTGCCATTATTGGACAATTTGATTAATTCAGGTGTGCCTGACCTCAGTAGTCACAGCAACAATAATCAGACACACCTGGATTAATCAATGTGGCCAATAATGGCAGACAGGAAACAAAGGAGCAGGCTGAAATTCAGGAAGTAGTGCAGCTGGGCATAAAGCCCATTAAACTATAAATTTGAAAGTTGGTGGAAACTGTCGGGATAATGTAAGTACACATCTGATAGAAATATATAACATACAGTTATTTTTGCTATTTTTAAAGCAGAAAAAAATACGTATTGTGGCTTTAAAACAATATGTTGTAAACCGCGCAATATAAATAAAGGTGACTTGAATTGACATAAACACTAGGTTCGGATTCATCAATTAGAATGATTTCAAAGAATGAAACCAAAGGAATCCATGTAAACGTAGAACAACAGCTCTTAATAAATTACTCTGTAAAGTCACTTTTCATGTTTAAGTCATATTTTTTCTCTTCACACTTATACTTTCCAAATAAATGTATAGGCCCAACCTTTTGTTTAAAGCGCCGGTCATCTGCGGTAATGAACTCACAGCCTTTATGAACGCACTGCAGACAATTGGTGCAGATGCAGCTCTGGTGCTGAACGCAGTAGAACTCCATCAGTTTGCCATGATCGGAACAGAGACGCTCCATCAGATCTGGGAGCGGGTCAGACAGCTGATGCGCCCGGAAAATAGCATTCTCATGGTGAGGCCTAACATGATCCTCACAATAAGAAGCCATACAAGTCAGACATGTTTTGACCGCTTTGGCTTCCATGCAGGTGTCACATTGCATTTCATCTGGATCTTTCTTTTTCACCTCAAATGGTTCCTTAAGGGGTTCGGGGACACCCGCTTTTATTCTGTAGGCATCCAGGACCGCGCTGAGGACGGTGTTCTTCTTGAGTTCTGGTTTACTGCTGAAAGCCATTCGGCAATGAGGGCAGGACAGTGGTAATAACTTATCTTTCCATGTCGCTTCGAGACAGCTGGCGCAGAAACTGTGTCCACAGATTAAACTCACCGGGTTCTCGAAAAGACATAAACAAATGCTGCATGTCAACTCGTCTTCGAGACCAAGTAGAGACATATTTTCCGCCATTGTGAGACGTCGAGGGAGCCGCGATAACTGACGACAAACAACTGACTCAGTGGGCGGCGGCAGCGGAGAAACGAAACTTACGTGCCTTGTTGTGAAAGTCAAAAGTGCAAGCCTATACACGCATGCTCAGTATCAGGTCGTGCTCATCAGTTCTCTCAGCACAAAATGTCAGTACAGTTCAGTGTCATGTTAGAGTAACTGGAGTAACATATACTCCAGGATATTGATTTAGTTCTGTTTGAATGCGCTATTGCGCCTATGCAGAATGTTATTTTATTTATTTATTTATTTATTTATTTATTAGCCTATTTATTTATTATATAATAAATAATTTGCGTGAAGGCACGTTCTTCAAACGTACACAAGGGTACACTGTTTGCTAGTAAAATTGATGTTAAAAAAAAAATATATATATATATATATATATATACACTTTTTAAAGAATAATTTTATCATTACCATTATTTAAATAAACCAGGGGTCCGCAACCTTGTCATGAAGTGCCATTTTTGAGTCCCCCTGAGCAAATTGCATTAATGGACAAATCTTTTTCTGAATCTGTGATCTCGAACAGGGCAGGAGACATTTGTCGGTCGTGGTGAACAATTATATACTTTACTACGGAGTTTTTCTAAGTTTAAAAGAAACTTGTTAAAATAAACAACTTACATGTCTTTAAATATTTCAATAAGCTAAAATAATTAATCTGTATTTAGTTTTCAGATATTTATTTAATATGCTATTTATGAATTTCTCTTCTGGTTACAGATAGGCATAGCCTATTTACAATTTAGCCTACATTTACAGCCAGGTGTATATAAAAAGGATGCTTGCTGGACAAGAGGTTATGCACACAACTCACTTTACTTTTTTAGAAAAGAAAACTTGAACTCTCATTTCAGACCAAAACAGCTGCAGTCAATAGGCTATCAAGGCGTTCCCAAACAAATTTATCCTGAACGACATAACACCATGTAGCCTACTGTACCTATTTCAATTATATATCATGTTAATATATTTCAATATATTAAATAATAGATAGCTAAGGAATTTCTGCTTTCTATATATTGAAATAATATGTGACAAAATATTTACTAATAAATCATAATGTTTGTAATTTTAGATTCAGTAATACACTTCATTATAGATGTATGTGATCAGATATGATACAGCATGTGTAATATATTGCATATATATTTACTCATGCATGCATTAAACACTTATGTAAAATATAAATATAAATAAATAAATATATAATGTAATATATTTCTTATATTTCATAATTATATACATTATATATGTTCTATATTTTCAAGCTAGTTCACAAACCTCAAGTACACCTGCATGTACTAATGTACTTATAATGTTGTTAAATTAATGTTTATTGCATTTTTTTAATTTCATGTGTGTTCCCATGATGGTGTTTAATGTTTGTGTGAATGACACTGTGCAGCTTCTTTATATAAGTATTACTTAAATAAGTAATCACTTATGATGAGCTGTGATTGCTCAAGTAACTCTCATCACTGCTGTGATGATTGGTTGTCAGTGTATTACAATGGTCTAAAACAGATATCAATAAGTTGGTAAATCAACATTTTATCAGAAAATAAAATACGGTTTTTTACTGTAAATTTTAAGTTAAGTCTGTAAAACCATAAACGTTCCCGTATTTTTAACGGGAAAGTTCTGGCAACCACAGCTGCCGTTTTTTTACCGTAAAATGTAGGCCTACGGTTTATTTTTTACAGTGTAGCCAATAGACTGTCACTGAGCTGAGGAGCATGGTCACTACTTTGAATAGTCTTAATGATCTTTGGCCAATGGTCAACCGAACCACAAGCTTTATTCAGCACAATGGGAACCCCAAAAACTCAGACATACCAGAACACCTTTTAAAAATAATAGAATTTCCAATAGAACATAGAAAATAAATAGAACATTAAACGCTAACAGATCTCCCCTATATTAAATCATCTTGAAGAGTTTCATCATTGTAACTGAACCCGACGCGCTGTTTGAACGCTGAATGGAGAATGACTGACAGCCGCAGCGGAGGGAAAAGTTTACGTTATCTTGAATTTAATGACTTGAATATTAATTTCTATAATGGCTTCAGATTATAACAGTGCACGAAAAGGTACTTTAGAAAGTTTTGTGCCTCTTGTGGGGCTTAACAATAACATAGAATAGTATACGCACAATATCGGATTAGAATCAGCCTCGTCTGATCGATACCCGATCCGGCAAAAATGGCAGTATCGGAACCAACTGATCAGGCACGTGCACACATAGACATCAAAGGGGGCTTGAGCACCTGCTCATTTTATTACCGGAGAGAAAGTGCCGTTTTTTCTGGGGTGCTTGCCTTTTTTATTTTATTTTTTTAAGAAAATACTAGCATATTACTATTTGCGCACAGTTTCCCTGTCAAACAAATATATTTAATGCATAGTGTATATGCAAATATCAGGTCAGGACAGGAGGAGTTCTGAAGAGTAAACGCGTCACCTCTAGTGAGCTCGCGCTGCCGTTTGGACTTTCTTTGAGCCGAGAGGATAAACAGTCCGTGAGGCGCGCGCTTCAAATGAGTTTCATCGTGCTTTTTTTTGCCACATAAACATTATCGAACGTTTATCGAACTCTATATTGATATGGAGTATTGACGATTTTGACTCGAACTTGATATCGTTTTATCGCGAAAAATTGAATGAATGAGCATATCAAATTTAAGACGTGGCTAAATGTAATTTATGGCCTTGTATGGAAAATCCGGACGTTTTTATGAATTTGTATGGCCTAAAATTCTTATTATTAAAGTTAATGACTTAGCTACATCAAGAGTCTTTCCCCTGAAGTTTAGAAATCTAAATTGGTGAATTTAGAAGAAATCTAGATGCAAACTCTAAATGTGCATTTTGAAGGCTTTATTTGATGATGATACAGTTCTCCCTCAAATGTGAAGTCCATGTCACCATCAGGTTGTAACGCGCTGCTTCAGGAAGAAGGAGATGGATAACTCACGACTGAAGATATTACGTGCGGAGGCCAGACAGATTTCACGGAGTCGATATGCATCTCAAAACTCGTGCTTTATTCCACATCGAACTCGTGCATATAACTATCTGTTGCACGTCCTCCCATCCACATCGTTACTTAACAAGCAAAGTAAAAATAATATAAAAGTCGGCATCAAACATAAATTACACACATGGGGGTGTTCGAGGCACACGGCATATATCACATAGAATACCAATAATGCCGACTCTCTAACAGGAGCGCGTAGCTCTTCAAGGGGCCACACCCTATTTTCACCCGTCACAGATTCTTAAAGGGGTCACACCATATTTCTACTCGTTACAAGGTGTGTATCAAATATGTACTTGATTGACACACTGTGGCATGCTTTCCTTTGCTGCTCTATAATGAATACTAAGGAGACCATGATTTCTGTGTGAACTGATTATTTTGTAGACATCTTTTGAAAATTAAACAATTGTATGAGTTTGAGAAAGATAAAAATTAATTCACTTTTTAAATATTTTTTAAAAAATATTAGGCTAGAGTTGTGTTAATATATATATACTTTTTTGCTTAAAAAGTAAAATAAATTTAAAAAAAAATATGAGAAATGCCCTTTTTTTCACGTGAGCCCCTGCCCCTCAAAATGTCTGTGCACGTCCCTAGGGCAGCTGCAACTGATCCCTATACTGTAATGTAAACACACGTAGATGTAGACCTGGGGCCTGATGTATAAACGTTCAGTACGCACAAAATGGGCATAGAAATATGCGTACGCATTTTTCCACGCATCGGGATTTATAAAAAATAAACTCGGCGTAAATAAGTGCGCACCGTAAAGCCTGTTTTATGCTTCTGCGTCGAATCGACGGCGTACCCCCGCTGTTTTTTTTATTTCATTGTTAATATGTCTATATTATTTTCTTTCTTTTTTGCTCGCAATAAACTTCAATCAATCAATAAATCAACGTTTGTTTTGAAATACAGTTTGTTGTTTATTTTCAATACAATGTTCACGGTTACATCATTGATAATACAGTACTAACCAAGTCTGCCACTGGACACATCCTGCCATAGCACAGTTCCATGTGGAGACTGAAAAAATCCTTGTCATTCCGAACAGGTATCGTTGTGGCAGCTCGGGTGGAACCTTTATTTTATTGTCTATGGGTGGAACGGGCCCTGGACATCCGTGTTGATTCTGTGGGGATATTGTGTCGTCTTGTTATTCAACGTCGATTAGCTCCAGCTGACAGCTGCTCATAGACATCTGCTAAAACAACATTCTCTCTCTTTCGCTAGCGGCGCACGGAACCAAAGAGATTCGCGAACCCCCCTAGCGTTCTGGCGGCGAAATGCACCCCGATGCACCACAACCTCACGCAGTGTATATGTCTATGACGCAGAAGTATAAAACGGCCACGACGCCGTAGCAGTGACGACGTAGCTACGCCGTGGAGTTGACGCAGAAGCATAATGAGGCCTTAAGGATGCTCTTGACCGTGCATACGCACTCTTTTAGAAGAGTGTGTTTTGGCGACACCGATGGTGAGCTGGAGTTAAATGTATTTTTGGTCACTATTAGACAGAGAATCAAAAGAAAATTATACATCTAATATAATTAAAAATATAATTTCACAAACCTATCATCACTTGAAGCAAACATCAATCCCTTCTTAAATGTCTGCGCCATAAGCGCGTTGGGCCGTTTAGTGAAACTGACGCACGTATAGCCTATAATCTAACGGCAGATGAAGTAAAACCGTAAATCTTCATTGTGAGTCCTAATCATACAGTACATGTTCACAATAACAGTTTAAATAAATAAAAGAACGATTTAAATTATGTTTTACTTCTGATATAAACATTTAGATGAAATATTCTCATTAATGGAGTTAAACACTTAAATAGCCTACATGAAATCATTACTGAGAAGTTGCAAAAAATGTAGGCTATATTCAATAAATAGAAATAGATCTATTTGTTGTGGATGCAATGCTTTTGAACATTTTTCCTCTGGCATGCTGTGTTTAAATGTTTTAACTGATATAGCTAATAGCAGATTGTCTGGAAAAAAATGGTTTCGTGCAAATAATGCACAAGATCTATCTGTTTCCATTAAAATATAAATCAATTAAAAATA